GGACGTGCCCCGCAACGGAAGGGGGAACGCATGGGTGATCATCCACGAGGCCTGCTTGAAGCTTGCATTCACGAAGAGCGCATGCATTGTCGAATGTCGCGATCTGGCTGATGTCCTCGTGCAAGGAACGCTCGCAACTGTCTTGCCATGACAGTATGTGTGCCGTATCCGATTGCTGATCGGGAGAAGGTTCGTCGTCGGCAGGAGTTGCCTCCAGCTCCGCCGCCTCCACGTCAGCGTCGTCATCAGGGATCGGGACTGACGCGGCTGTCGGCGGCAGGTCTGGTGGCGATGGATCAGCTGGCCTGCTTATCGGAAGCGGGCCAGTCGGTAATGGCTCTGGTAAAGGGATCGGCTGCGGGCCAGGCTGCAATGGTTCAGGCAGTGGGCCTGGTTGCACTGGCTGCCCGTCCTCGGCCTGCTGGTCTGTCCCAACTGCCGCGCGCCAGAAGGTAGTTGGAACGTCGGCCTCGAGCCCCAATGCAAGCCGATCCAAGGCGTTCTGTGCAAAGAAACCTTTGCGTGCTATAATAATGTCTTGGTTGTCAATACGAGGACCAATACGATGAGAGTTCAATATGTTGCCCTCTGCGATGATGCGTGATTTGGTCAAATCGTCATCGCCGTCCAAATCAGTAATCTGCTGTAGGAACTGCTCGTACACGACCCAGGTAACAGCGTGTGCATCCTGAATTTCTTTCACAATTTTGGAATGAAAGAGCTCTCTCTTCTCAGGTGAATCCCAAGATGCCCACGCCCCGGGGTAGTCGTTGATCAGAAGTAGAAGGTAGTTGAACAACTCGTCGCATGCATGACCACATGGGTCATTACCAGGAATAGCCTTGGTAGGATCGCGAGGATCAAGTGCTGGTGGCTCTTTTGCGAGTCCAGGGATGGGGACGCATGGATCGCCCGTTGCCAATGGCATTGACTTTGGCAAAGTACCGCTGGCACAAGATGCCATCCAAGCACAATGAGCCATTTCTCCAGCAGTCTGAGTCATCAGCGTCGCGAGGCTGAGATCTCTCATCCACTCATTGGTTATCTTCTCTCGACATTGAAGAGCCTCCATAATTTATTTGGCCTGGGTGTAGGCCTGTGCGTCCGTGACCGGAGTCAGGATAGGAGGTCTGGATGGATAAGGCTGAGATGGTAATGACTGGATCAATGCGCAGAAATTGCGATAGCATACTGCATCGCAGAATTGAGTCGTCAACATTGCCAGGTTGTGATTATTCTGTGTCGAATGCCAAGCCTGAGGCATAATCCTGTCGTAAGCATCTATCCAGTGATCTGATGGAAGGACTGTAATACCACGTGATTGTATTGTCTTGATCAGATCACCCGTGCGGTAGTCGAAGTCCGGGTGTACACCCCATTGTGTCGCTTTGCCTGGCCCCGTGACCGTGGGGCAACAAAAGTACTGCATCACGTCAATAAAACGAGATAGATCCACTTGTACGTGCACTGGCATAAGCGTCGGGACGCCACCCTCGCACTCCATCTTCATGAGCTCGCGCGCGGAAGTATGAGCGCGATCTTCATGGCGACGCGTGTCCAATATGTTTTGACCGTGGTTGGCACATGCAATGTCGTTTGCACTCCAGACCACCATGGCGTTGAGGCCTCTGCAGTAGTGTCTTTGTTTCACAAATGCAGGGAAGACATTTGTCCAACAATCCCATATGACCTCATTCAATATACGCCACCCTTTGATAGAAGCATTGTCGTTCATCAGCGTCAAGCCCCTGGCCTTGCGGATCATGTTGCGCTGCTCGAGTGTAGACTCGAACTGGTTTGCAAGGATAGCTGTGATACGGTTCTCCTGTGTCTGCGCACGCTGATCACGGAGCTGTGCCATATCACAGCGGGCGTCGCCACCAACCTCTGGCAATAGAATGCAGTCCTGGCCAATCGCCGTGTCGTTCTGTTTGAACCATTCTTTGTAATTGCCAAAGGAGAATGCCCACATCGTAATGTCGTCGCGGATGACGGTCGACAAGTGCTCGAGGGTGGCGCCACCGATGCATTCTGCACGATTGAGGCACGGCATAAATAAAGGTACGAGACCAACGTTTGATGCTTTAGCAAGAGCGCCTCGCTTTTGTGGGCTGTCGGGCTCGTCGATGCCGTGGCTGGGATACTTTTTGTGCTTGGCGGTCTTGGATCCCTTCTTGGGGTGCATGGTCCATGTTGAGTCCGCGCGCAGATTTGCCCATTTGTATGCGCGCCCTGGCGGGCCAAATGCATGATGTAGAAGAAGTCCCAGGTCCTCCTGTATGAGTGAATGCCACCCGCTGTCTGAAAGAAGGGTAGAAACCAATCGACCACCACAAAACGCGCTGCATTTTGCTTCAAGCTCTAGCGGATCAACATCAGTACCAGGAGTACGACCAGGGTCCTCCTTGGTAGGCGTTTCGCTGGGCAGCACAGAGCCCTCCTCGTATGGTTGCCAATGATTGTCGTCGTACCCTGGGAGGATTTTCCAGCCGTCTGGGTGATCGGATGGTGTTGCCACCGTCTTGGGGCTTGATCCGGTACCTCCAAATCCTCCGCGTGCAGTCAACCACGTACTGAGCTTGCGGCGGAATGTGCCTGTCTGGGTGAGATCGGAGAACGCCCTCACTTCGGTGACAAGGTTATCCTCGACAACGTGGCCGAGGTGTCCCGCAGTATCTGATGTCCTGGCCATGCCAGGTGGACGAACGGGTAGTTTGATCGTAGCGCGATCAAGTTTAGGAGCGTAGCTGGGAGTTGTCAATCCATTACTGTATACATCGTGAGGCGCACAAAGCCCATCTTTGTAGAAGTAGTTTGTGTCCTGAACGCTGTCCTCGGCGTATTGCCCGAGAAATGCACTGCCAACGTTTGACCAATCGTTGTGCATCATCATCCACTCTGCCTTTAATACTGCCGTCGTGAGCTCCATTGGTGGACACTTGCGGTGTGAGTTGAATCACAGCATGCAAGTGATCATGTAAGCCACGAACGTTTTCTTGTACAGAAGAATTGCGTGTGAAGAGGCTGGAGATCATGCACATGGCTCTCATGAATGACATCCATGGCGTAGCCGTGGTCGCACTGTACTCGTAGTTGGCGTTGCCGCCGACTCCTCCATCAACTTTGCCGATAAAATTCGTCGCGTCGGCGGACGCGGAACGGGTAACTTCGACAATAATGGATTCGTCGGGTACACGTAGATCATACTCTGCACTACGATCAACGCGCTGATGATGTACGTAGGCAAAGCCATCCTCGGGATCGCGAGGGCGGCCAGTTTGGGCGTGGTACGTGAAGCACACGCGGTCGTCGTCCTTGGCGTTCGGGTCGTAGCCAGCGTCGCATGCGATGGCCTGGGTGCGTGAGATAGAGCCCGATTCTATGTTCAGTTTTTGTTGTTTGGGGATGGCGGGCCTCCTGGTTAAAATGGCTTGCGTGGCTAAATTTGAAATTTTTTGTTCGCGCGGTTTTGTGCCCATGTAAGGATCCACCATTGTTGTGTCGCTGCGTTTTTTCACCCGCGCTGAGGTGATGGCAACTTTTCGCCAACGCAAATTTCTGCAACGACTCGCCCGCCAGCCTTATTCACCCTCGCATTATGTGCCGTATAACCTAGCGTGCCGATTTGGCAATCCATAAATTTAGGCGGTCTACCATGTCTTGGTGTGATTCGGGATTTGATGTTGGTATGCATTCACGTGGTGGGACGATTTCGCAACTGGAACGGATGCGCATCATGTATATCGTTGCGTAGCCGACCGTTGCACAGTTAGGCGGAATGGGTCAGCATCTGCACATGACACCATGAACGATTGCATGTTTGCTTGCGGTGTGGTGCAATGTGGCGCGCACGGGTGTTTACAGATCACGCGCTTGTAAGTTTCATAGTGCAGTGTCGCTCACATCAGCGTTGTGACATTTCACATGCGCAAGTACATTGTGTGTCCTTGTCTGTGCATGTTGCGTGCATGTTCGTGGCCACCCAATCTTTGTGGCCACGAACATCCGTGCGTAAGTATGTACATAGGCATGCACCGTTGGAAATATTTGATGTAATTAGGTATATCAGTTTACGCGCGCTTAGCTTACATGCGTGATCTTGCATGACGTGTATATGCTCATATACGGTGTAGAAGTACCTTAGAAGTACCACTTAAGCCCAACGGTGCCCCATGGATCATGGCCCACGGAGGCCGCAATAACCCCCCCAAAGCCTCGAATAACCTACGTGAGAGGGCCGAACACACAGCCCCCGTCCCTGCCCCCGAGAGGCCCGAGAGGCAACCGATAGGCTTCCCAGGAGATCCCAAAGGACATCCAAGAGGCCTCCCCCCACCGCAACCCAGGCACGTCGGCGGAATGGTCCGAGAGCCATTTGATAAGTTGTTCGCGTTGGTGGGGGCTTCATTAGAGAATTGGGCTCGCTAGCTGAGCCCGCGACTCCACGACCATGACTTACAATCCAACCTGTTGCTTTCTCACATCCTTTTTACCAGTCCCATCTCCCGCGTCGTTATTTCTTCTGTTTCTCTCCCCGGGCTCCGCTCTTCCCTCCTTCGCCGTCGTCGCCATCGAGTCGTTATCGTCGTCACCGCTCTCGTAGTCATCTCCTTAGGATATCCATTGCGTCGCCGCCGTCGCCCTGAACCCCTTACTCATTGTCTGTGTTTGCACTTGTTGTATTATGAGTGGGCGGACGGCAAGTAGGAGTAGGAAGAGGAAGACGACGAGGATTCTATCCGCGCCTATCTCTCCCCAGTTCCTCGACTGTTTAAGCTCAAGACTGAGGCCTACTAGGCCTTCAAGGCTCAGGCCTACTAGGCCCTAAGGCCCTTAGGCCTTACTTTTCTATATGTGGCTCTCGGACATGTTTTCCTCAAAAGGTCGGGTCAAACCTGCTCTGAACGAATCAACTTCCACACGTCCAGTCGAAACCTGCAGACTCGGGGCAGAGGCGTCGGCTCAGAGGCAGGTGTCCTGCCCGCTCGTTGGCCCAATCCTTACAAGAGGTGGTGGGCCATTTCCTTGGTGATGACAGGCGCATCTGCGTCCACGTCTGCGTCCACCTCGTTGAGAATCACCTCCTTCTTCAGTTCCGACTCGGCAGCTTTCTGGCGGTTTTTCCCCAAGGCAATCGCGGCCATGTCGACTTCCTCGTCGAAGGGGTTGCGGGTCAGCTCGGCCATCATGGAGTGAAAAGTGCGTTTCTTAAATGATTTATCTGACTTCTCTGACTTATCTGACTTACTTTTGTCCATAATCTCGCGTTCCAGCCTCTTCTGCTCCTCGTCATTCAATGCGATCTGGAGGTAGGTAGGATTCGGAACCAAGCTCTTCACAAATACCTGGAACTTGGTTTTCTCGTCACTGCTAATGACATTTACCTCGGCAGGGGGCCCTTCGATCATAGTTGGGATCTCGTACTTCTCATCTCCTGGCTGCACGCGGGCACCTTTGCGAAGGTTGACGACCCGCACCATCCAACCAGGCACGCACTGACCGCGCACAGCCCCGACCGACGTCATCGCACTTCCTGGGAGGGCCACCATCGACGGCAACGTAAGCGACGAATCATGGTTCTCGGACTTCCAGAGTTCTCGGAGGACTTTTCAGTCAGCAGTTTGGCCTCGGCCTTGTAGCCCAGTGAACCGACGGTAGATGTGCTGAACCTGCCAGGAAGATGGAATTTGAGATCATGGCCGATGGCGTTCTGAATGTTAGCGTAGAGCCTAGATGCCGTTCCGTTCCTAATCTTGATCGCCAGGTCGCCTTCGCCAGTGTCGTTCATGCGCCCGGAGGACCACTCGTCAAAGGCAGCGGCCGTTGTCACGTGCGAAAAGACGGTAGGGTTCCAGACTGTTGCCTTCAGACTTGCACTTGTTTCGGACGTGCCGTAGGTAGGGAACTGCACCAGTGTCTTCTCATCGCTGGCGTTCGTAGTCACGGCCTCCATTGCCTCATCGACTTGTGACGCAACTTCTTCCGCGAGGATTCCGTCGTGCCCCCCAGACTCCTGTATCATCACCGCTGAGATGGTATCCTTCCACATCTTCTCAATTGCGTCCGTCTTCTTGCGAACCTCGTTGACTTCATATGCGGCGAGGTGCTTGATCATGGCCTCATGCTTCTCCTTATTTGCCAGGTCCTTCTCGATAGTGATGTGGCTAGACAGCTTCTTCTTGAAATCGGTCTCCAGGAATGCCTTGGGATACTTGGAAACCTTGCTCTTCATGGTGACTTCGAGATCCTTGTAAAACTTGTCGTCCTTGTCTCCTGCGAACTCCTCAGACGTCAAGTTCTGGGCGTTCATGAAGATGCTCTTCCACGCAACCGTCCACTCCTTCTTCTGGATCTTGTTGCAGTCGATGGCCGACACGGCTTCGGGGCAGCGAGTGGCGAAGGCGTTCACCAAGGGAATGCTCTTGCGGATGTCAGCGCTCACCTTCTGATCGATCTTCAATTCGTCGAAGGATTCAAGCAACTCCCCAAACAGAAGTTTCACGCAGACGGCCCCCATCTTCAGGAACTCCTCGAGCTTCGAAATGCTGGGCCAGACCTGGTCAAGCGTCTTGATCTTCGTGTTGAGTGGCCCACGTGAACTGTCTTGACTTTTCCTCCGGAGGCTGCTTCTGGTCCCTCTGGTCACTGTCGCCCTTGACTGTTGCGTAGCAGTACGTGCCAAGCTCGATGACACTCGGGTTGAAAGTAGCCCAGACGGCGTCCGTGATCAAGGTCAGCATGATGTCTGCGGCCTCGCTGATGGAGGAGGCCGCTCGGAGATTCTGGACATCCTCGTCGCGCGGGTTTGTAATCCGCTGCCACATGATCCCGATGGCCTTGCTCACCGGGCCGACAGTCTTCTTCAGCAGCGGGATGGACATAGACTCGAAGGGAGGAGCGTTCTTGTCAGACAACGATGGGATCTCCGCTGCCAACGCCAACGCGCTAGACAAAAGCTTGGGCTCGCGGGCCAGCAAGTCCGTGATCTGCAGCCCTACTTCCACCGTCCCAGGCTCCTCATCTGACATGCCGCTGCTGGAGTCGTCGCTCAAGCGCTGGACCTAGGTCACAGCAGGGGCGTCAGCGTGGTCAATGGCGAGCTTGGTCTTGACATATTTTCGCAAGGTCTTCCACGTCTTGAATGTCTTGAAGTCATCCACACCCCCGTTCTTCAGGGACGGCAAGGACACATATCCCATGATGACAAACTGAAAGATTCGTAGTTTCATAGCCTCGATATTGTCGTGCATGCGCTCCTTGCCGTGGACTGCGATGTCGATGGCGCGTCGCACGTCGTTCAGGAAGGTGATGGTCACAGTCTCTGGAGTCTCATCCACCTTTGGTTTCGTTCTCACCGCCTTGGCTTTCGCCTTACCTTTTGTCTTTGCCCTTCCCTTGCCCTTCGGTTGTGCTGTTGCTGTCGGGCTCTGGTTCGGCCCCTTCGAACCCCTGGCGTTTTTCGTCGGCGTCGAAGTCTTGGAAGATGGAACTGGGACGAACAAGAAGTGGATCTTCTGCGCGTCGCCTTTGCAATCCATGCTGAAGGTCGCCTCGCTATTCGGCAGGACAAGCTTGAGCACCGTCAGGAGGTCATCGCTGCTGCGATCGCCCCATTCATCATTGGGAATTATCTTCTGGAAAGCCTTCAAGATAATCGAGTTGTTACGGAAGACGTTGTTATTGATGATGCTCGGGTCGCTCCACGTGACATTCTTGTTTGCCCAAATCTGGTACCTGTCCCAGAGGCCAAGCTTCGCGAGTTCGGATTTGAAGTTGCGGGCCAGCTTGAAGGCGTCGAAGGCTTTGAAGCGTTTCGGGTAATGCTTCTCCAGGAAGGCCTTGCACTCTGTCTCGAGGCCCGCCTGAGAGGCCTGAGAGGTAGAAGCGGGCTTACTTGTGGTGGATCCGTCAGCTTCTTCTCCAGCAGCCCCCTCCTGCCCTGCTTCTTCTCCTGCAGCTTCTCCGTCTTCTTCTTCTCCAGCAACCTCGCCACCCTGCACCTTGTCCGCATCTCCTGCGAGGCGCTTGGCTTTCCGGTCCCGCCTCCAGTGCGTCTCGATCGTTGGGCACAATTTGTAGAGTTGGATGACGTTCGTTTGCGTGAAGAGCGCGTTCTTGTCATTCAGCTCGTGCACGACGTACACCAGAGCGTCCGGTGGCGATCTCGACTCGAGAAGGCTGACCTTCACTCCTGTCTCGATGGTCAGTTTGACGTTCGGCAACTCGGGCGCCTCTGCATGAGCCATGTAAGCTGCCTCTATCAGGGTGGCGCCCGCCAAGAGGTAAAGACGTTCGAGGCTCGGTCTGGGTGAAGGCGTCCAACTCCTCAACATCTCAACCTCCGTGCCTGACTTGTGATATTTCTTGGCAGCCGCCCGAACTTCCTCGTCCGTGAGATAGACCCCTACGATGTCGCTCCGGCACTCCTCCATGACGCCGTCATCCTTGATCGCGCTGATGTACTTCTGCCTGGCCTCCCCCTGGTCCCTGTCATTTACAGGGTGGCGGAAGATCATCTGCACTTTCTGTCCGTTCACGTTCTCGAAGAAATTCGCATTGAAGACGTCGGGCGTGGCGTTGTACACGCGGCGAACCATCTGCATCAGGCCTTTTCCACTCAGACCTGGAAATCTGTCGTGGATCGTCTGCGCAGTGTCGTCCCAGGGGCTGATAGCATTCGCTGTCATCGAGTGGCTGGCTGAAGTTCCGATCTGGCCAATGGGGCGAATTGGTGAGGCCGGGGCACCTTCAGCAATGACGCTGCTGCTTGGCGGTCCCTTGCCCTGTGCATCTCGAACCAAAAGTGACCATGCTCTCCTCTCCAAGTCTTGAAATGAGAAAGGCCCCGCGCCCATCCAGCGGACGCCAGGGCCATCGAGAAAGGCCCTGGGGGCCCTGGGGGCCCAAGGGAACCGTCGGGAAAACAACAAGGACCGTCGAGACCCGCGACGAGTTTCATTCTAGGTCAGGTCTAGGTCTAAGCGGCCCCCCCGCGGCCCTGCGCCGAGCCAGCGGCCGCCAGGACATTGAAGGGTCCCGGGGGCCCAGGGGAACCGTCGGCAAAAAAGAAAAAAAAAAAAAAAAGAAGGGGGCCGAGCAGGGCCTGCAACTGCAACGAGTTTCATTCTAGGTTTTAGCGGGCTGCCCGCGGCCCGCGCTCCCACCCGGGGCGAGGAGGAGCTAGGCCCCGCGCCGATCCGACGGCAGTCAGTGATTTTGTTATGGCCAGCGGCATTGTTTGTATCGTTGTTATGTTGTTACCGGTTATCTTCGCCATCGTTGCACCTGTGATCGTGATCGTTGTTGCTGGAATCACTGTGATCGCTGCTGTGGCATCTGGATCGCTGTTAAGTTCTGTTAATGTTAAGCCTGTTGACGAAGCCATCGTTGCTATCCGTGCGATCATCGCACTCGTCGTTATCGCTGATGCGCTGGTTTCTATTGTTAGCAAGCTTGGGGGCAGGAGCAGACAAGGAGAGGGCAGCAGCAAGAGGAGAAAGAAAGAAGGACAGGAGGTGGAGGAGGAGTCCTAGGAATGAGGAGGACAGGAGGTGAGGATAACAAGCGAAGGAGTCCAGGAGGGGGGATCTTCCCACCAGACCACCAGGAGCATCTCATGACTTTGCCACAGTTCCAGAGCTGAGGCAGTCAGAAACCTCGCTTCGAATACCTGAAAGCATGAAAGCCCCACAAAACATGCCAAGTGCCCTCAAGGGCCCCACACGGGGACACAGAGGCCTCAAAGAAAGCCGCAGGTGTTGTCGGGCTGAATGCTAGTAGCGGCTACGCGAGCGTCTGCAGCGTCCACTGCTTCTTGCTCTCGGCCTCGGAGATCGCCACGAAGCACTTCATGAACATAGCGTCCGAGTCTTTCGACGAGCTCGTGCCAGTAGACGGCGAGGACGGCGTTGAAGACGATGCGCGGCGCTTGGCCACCTTGGCGATCTCATCGCAGAGCTGAGCCACGCTGCTGCCCCAGGTCGACCTCGGGATGCGAAGCAAGACTGTCATCATGACGGCGCCCATCGCGTTGACGTGCATCGTGTTACCGATCTGGCAGATCTGGGACGCACGGGTTCTCGTACGTGGAGCCACGCGGCACGTTGAAAACGGGCAGCTCGCACCACATATCATCACGCATTCCGGTGACACTGGGAAACCCATCGATGTCCATAGTTCTGCAACCGTCAGCCACATCTCGCGCTCATAGCTCCAAGTGATTCCAGCCCCCTGGATGAGCGTGTGAAGTACCCCATCGCGTGCACACATCGGTCTTTTGTCGAACACCTGGCCCAGGTCGACAATACCATCTGGGGGAAGCAATGAGCGAGCATCGCGCATCCTCTGAAACTCCACCCCAGTCAAGCAGGCCTCAGCGGAATCGTCGGCGAAGAGCGCTGGGTTCTTGTCCATGCGCTCTTTCACTGCCCTCCTCGACTTGGCCCACTCCTTCTCCTCCCCGATCTCGAATGGATCCGAAATCATGTAGTCGTTGCAATGGAAGCCGCAGACCCGCTTGAAGACAATGCTGTAGGCGGCGGCAAGGTCGAGGTAGGAGATGACGTCAGTGCCGGCGATGGTTTTGCCAGCGAACTCGCCCGCGTTGGCTAGCGCATTGAAGATGGCGCGTCGGCGGATCAGGATGCAGATCTGGCGCTTCCGCGCCCCAGCCCATCCTTGCAAGCCGAGAAAATGGAAGAGGAGACGACTCGCCCCCTTGGCCCTTCCATCCTCCTGGACTCCTCGTCTCCGAGACGAGGAGTCCAGGATGATGGAAGGGGAGGGGCCCCCAGGGAGGGGGAGAAGAAAGAAGAAAGAATGAGGAGGAGGAGGAGGACGAGAGGAGGAGGTGGAGCAGGGAGGAGGGTGGAGGAGGGAGGGAGGATGTTGGAGAAGGATGGAGTCGAGGAAAAAGAAGAGGATGAAGGAGGAGGTGGAGGAGAAGGAGAGAAGGATGGAAGGAGAAGGAGTCGAGAAGGAGGAGTTCAACTCCAAAGTCCTAGTTCTGAAGGACAGGTGTGGATGCGCACCGCGATGTACATCGAGCCCAAGAGCTCGCGCATCTCCTGGTCCCCGAAGCTCGGCACATTCTCGTGGAAGCACACGTGCGGCTTGACAGCACGAACGATGGCGCACCACACGTAGAATAGTTTGGCAGTGTCACCGTCGAACCCTTTGCGATCTACGTTCATGCTGGAGTGCTCTGTACAAGGACTGCCTGCACGATGAATGTCCGTGTGCGTGATAGGACAATATGTCCCGCACCGCACGCACCACGCTCGTGCCTTGATCTTGGAGAACGGCAGGATGGTCTTGAGCGTCTTGGCTGGAAGCTCGGTGCCGCCATCCAGCCCACAAGCCTTGCGGCCCACGGCTGGGCAGAAGTCCATGATGTCGCCGAACACGTGCGTCGGCTGGGACATGACGTCGATCTGGGACAGGAGCTCCTCCTGGCACTTCTGGTTCACCTCGATTGCCCATGACGGTGTGAGGTCCAAGGAGTTGACTGGACACATCGCCGCCAACCGACCCACAGCAGTCTCTATGAACAGGTCCGCGATCTCTGGGGCCCCAACGCCTGAGAATGCTGAGCTTGTCGTGATGGAAAGATCGCAGAGCTTGTCACGCAATGTCTGGCTGGTCTCGAGTCCGATGGCTTGCACGCGCTCAAGGCCGTGCGCAGCCCACTGCATGGCATCTGTGTGTGATAACACTGTTCTAGGTGGCGGATAGCCCGCCATGGTACCAGCTGAAAGTGCTGACACTCTACAGCTCTACAGCCAAAATGGCTGCGGCTACGATGGAGGGGGGGAGGAGGAGGAGGCATACGATCCAGGAATGAGAAGCGCCGAAGACAGCCCCGAGGAATGTCAGGACGTCAGGACGCCCTCCCTAGGGCACCTAGGCACGTGGCCTCGGATGTCATCGGGCCATCAGGGGACTTAAGAACGACATCAAAGGCCCACAAGAGGCCCAGAAAGGCCACGCAGAAACGGTGTGAGGACGATTTACGTGGCCACGAAGGAGGCACACAGGCCACACAACGGTGATTAAAGTGAGCACATGTTGGGGATTAGCGTTGGGTTCTTCGCCATTTTGAAAACACCTTTGGGAAGCTACATCAGTGAAAAATCAGCTCAGAATTTCACGACGAGGTGCAATTTGGGGATTACACCCAAATTGCACCTTAAAGTTTGGGGATCCGACCCGAAATCCCCAAAGTTTAAGCGCAATTTGGGAGTTACACCCAAATTCCACTTACATGCTGAAATTTTGCATCGGGATTCTGAAAATTAGGGTGGAATATGATCGCACAGAAATGGCATGTGAGCATGAGAACCGACGTGGTTTTGCGCAGCCAGATGATGCCGTTCTCGGCAGTCCAGCACGTAACGACGAAAAGAAACCGCACATGTATGGCATTGGGTTGTGGGTTTCGCACAGTGGCGTCGGCTCTCTGAACTCATCTGGCAAGGATAAACAACCATCTCAGACTTCAGAGTTGTGGGTAGGAGAAGCAGTGAAGAGAGCGCACCACTCGCCCAAGTCTTCTCAAGGGCCCCCACCCCCTGTGCTCCTCCTGCAAGACTCCAGCGGACAATTGGACGAATAAGGAGCGAGGAAGAATGAGAGGGAGGCAACAGGCAAGAAACGCAAGATGAGGGAGCGTGATAAACGGAGGAGGGAGGAGGGACGATGATGCTGAAAGGACGGGGGCCCAACAGTCTACGCTCACTCTCGGAAGCTTTCGGGGGACCCTCTGGAATTTCTTGGCCTGCGAAGCGCATGGAGCATGGGTCACAAGCCCTCCTCCCCTGCGGCCGCACTGCTGGTAGCTAAGCACACTCGCACCTGCACCCGGACAAGAGGAGAAGTTGAGAAAGAGGCGGGCAGGAGAGCAGGAGAGCAGGAGGAGCGCCATCGCCCCCTCGCAGCAGTCGTGCCGCCTGGCCCTGGAAAGTTCGACACCAGCGCCGTCGCACCTTCAGCGCAGCGGCGGCCGGGCCCTGTAGGACCGTAGGACACGTCAGTCAGTCACGCCAGCAAGGAAGCGCACCACATACACGTTGGTGGCATAATATCGGTCAAGTGCGCAAGTCCGAAGTAGTCTGACACCGTTTTGGCAAGGCCCTCTCCGACACTAGACTTCAGCAGGTGGGTGCCTGATTGGGAGGGGGGCAAGATACGACGCTAGTGTTGCTCTAGAATCACCCCTGAAGAACCCAACATTTGCATCATGCATCCTCTTTCGTATATCACCACACCACCCTCCCTGGAGGCCTCTGGAGTCAGTATATTTGGGTGCTGGGGCCTGGCCCTGGGTTCGAGACGGGACGGTCCCTGCGTAGTCGAAGATGTCGTGCGATTCGGTAATCACAGAAGGGTGGGAGGAGGGATGATGAGATTGACAAGTTGAGAAGGTAGGAGAGTAGGGGCATGGGGTATTGGGGGGGCACGGTGGAGAAATGGCCTGGAGGACGGGGGAGAGGGGGGTAGGAAGAAGCGGAAATCTGATAATGCCTCGATTCCTCCTCCTCCTCCTCCTCCTCGTCCTCGTCCTCCTCCTCCGCCACGTCTTCCTGTACCTCCGACCTCTTATCACCTTATCACGCATCCCGTCACCCTCGAGGCCGAGGCATCCAGGGTTGGCGGCGCTGGCCGTAAGGCCTTAGCAACATTAGAATGC